CTGCTAACTATGAGAAAACTGTTTATTACTGCTTTCACCTGATACGATTAAAGAACCAGAATTTTTTCACATCCACTAGGCCCTGTAACGTATCAAGCTATATTAAGAAACACTTCTTTTTTTTTTTTTGTAAAAATCACATTTATTTAAAAGCCACACATGAATGAACAAAATTAAAGTAACCGTAACGGGTTAGTAATAACCTTGCAATATATATATATATATATATATATATATATATATTTGCAATATGGGATAATAAACAATTTTTTCCATGATCATGATATTGATAAGTTATATTTTATATTAATAATCTGAAATTCAGGTTTTGTTACAAAGTTATAGAAAAAATTATTTACAATTATAAAGTTTCATAAGTTTTTCCTATTCTATAGAAGAGGAAAAGAATTTCTTTTCTTTTTTATTTAATTATAAAAAAAAATCTCTTTGAGCTTTAATATTTAAATAAAATTCCTTTGATCTTTAATACCAACTATTCTTAACATTAAGCTGTTGCTTTTAATGCCATAGACTGGTATTTGTCATGTTTTTCAAGGCGCAACAAGGAAAATACTGAATGACCTTGCAAAGAGCTGCCATATTTTATTTGATTTTATATCCGTTGTTAAACAGCCCATCCAGTTTCTGGGTTTACAACTACTAATAATCAACTCTGTAGCCTTGTAATTTTGAATCAATTCAGAAGACAAGGAAACTCCTAGATCAGAACCCCCTGAGGTATGATTTGTTATGGGAATATGGAGGACTTTGTGACTGAACAGATTTAACATGCATCAGTCACCATTTACTACACGGGGAGTCTTCCGCCTGAGAGGATTGAACCCACAACCTCTTGGACATGGTCCCATTGCCTTTCCAACCAGGCTATCCCGGCTCTATCTTTAATATTTGTTACGTTCAGGCACAAGTAAGTAATCAGTGGCATTTTGGAAGTTGCAAATATAACTAGCAATAAATGATATATAACTAAAATAAAAATATGATTTTAATAACTTACCAAAGTATTTAATGAAGGAAAATATTCTTCATTAAGATTTATTTCATAATTTTGAACTCAAAAGAAATTTTTTAATATAAAAAGATCGCTACTTAATTTTATTTACTGCAATTAAAATCCTGAAATGATTTTTACAGCAACATGAGCAAATTTTAAAACCTACAAAAGTAATAACTTTGACATACCTCATAAGCAATTTTGACGCCTCCAATGTCAGCAATCAGGGACCCAATTGTTAAATCAGAATCTACCTGCAAGTACAAACATTTTTAATTAAAGATTAAAATAGTCAACTTATAAAGACCATAGATTTCAATAAATGCAGGATTATATATAATTCTGAGAAAGAGGCTTAGAATCTTGTCTACCAATGTGACAGGATTATAAGCTAATTTTTCATGTCTCAGTACAAAAGAAATTTGCAATTTTTTGACCATAATTTGATCTATAATTGAATAAAAGCTCATATTTTTTTTTAAAAGTATATCAAATTAGCTCAAATTACAAGGTTTCCACACAATTTCCAAAATTTTACAACAGAATTCTTGAAAAATAAATAAATATATAAACATTAAGTAGATAACATGATTATAATATTTGTAGGAATAACATCGATAAAAACTAAAATTCATGAAAAATAAGACTTAATCATTTCTTACATGCATACATATAAAACTCACAGCTTTAGTGCTAGTATAAATCTAAATTTTCTTTTTTAAAGTAACAATTGCAATTTTTAAATATTATTTGATCATTAGAGGAAATAAATTTCTGTTTATTTTCAATTCAAAAGTAGATACTTTGTTGAGGGGGAAAAAAGGATTTAATTTTATAAAATAAACTTTTTACTGCAATTCTTTTAAGTTAAAGTTTCATTATCAATAATTAGATTTTTTTTAAGTTGCTGGCAGCTGTCATAAAAATAGAATGAAGGATGAATTAAAAACTGACAAATTTCTTAGGAAGGGTTTTTCAGTCTAATATCTATTTTAAAAATTTCATAAAAGAGTAATAAAACTTGCAAAACATTATGATTTTTTTTTTTAAAGCTAATTTTGAATTCTCTGAGTTTCTTATATTTTCCAAAGGCATTTACCCTGTGTCTGTCTGAAAAACTGAAGAGCTACAACCAATTTTTAAAAAAAAATAATATATAATTGTATCAAATAATAGTAATTGAAATTAAAAGTTATATTAAATTTCTAAATTAAGAAAAAGTTAATTGCATAATAATTAAAACGAAGTAAAATTATCTTACAAGATAACTTCACTTGATAACAGTGGTCTAACATATCTTGATGTTGTTTTTTATGCATTTTTTTAAGCACATGGTTTTCTTCTAATTTATGATAGAGCTTTGTTTCAATTTTTTAGTTATTAATATATAATTTGATTAAATAATAATTAAAACCAACGTTTTCATTAAAATCTCAAAGAATTCAAATTTAATTGCATAATAAGGGCTCCTACTCAATGTCAGAATGAAAAAAAAAAAATCCCTGACTTTTAAAGGTATATCAGGTAAATATCAAAGAAAATCCATACCATATTTTATCTATACAACACAATTTTTCATCAAAAACTTTGATTTTTTTTTTTTTTTTTACTTGTTATGCCGAACATTAGATTTCATGAGCAAAAATATATAATAAAATGAGAAGGGAAATATAGAAGTATTAAGTATTTCACTAAAAAGTGGAATTTTATAAAATAATTATAGTAGATGTTAGAATTATTTGACTCGAATCTCAATTTCCTGACAATTCCTGTTCTTCCTGCCTGCCCCCTAGAAGCTCTGATAATACTTCAAAATAGTAGCATTTATTACTTCAGCCATATAGTGAAAATTTAGAGGGAAAAAACTCATTTGAAAAACTAAATTACACATGACATAAAATTAATTATTAGATGTGACAACAATTTTTTAATGCATTTTTTCAGCACATAGTTTCAATTTTATAACTACAGTTTCTTTCTCCCTTTCAGCATTTTCAATGACCTTATAAAATTGAAAAAGACATTTGTAAATCTCAGAAAAGAAAATTAGATAATATATTTTAAAAGCAAAATACATAATTTTTTTTTAGCTAAACACATTTTTCTGAATTTTTTTTTACAAAACACATAAACTCCTCATAATAATATTCTGAAATTTATGCAATTAAATATAATCGATCACTAACAAATGAATTTTTTGACTGCAGATAACTCTGAACTGCCAGTTAAAAATCACAAATTTCACAATAAAAAATAGTAGTTTCAAATGCCATAATATAAATATGTCAAATAAATTTTATTAAAAAAATAATGCTAATAAAAAAAAATTTAAATACATAGTTTTTTTTTTTTAAAAAAAAAAACTTTACGTACTGGAACTCCTTGTAAAGAATAATTTGAGACAGATTTTTTTACACAACCTTCCTTCATTTTAAAAGAGTGTAGAGAATTATTTCCAATCCAAGGCTCCAGCACACCATACATATTGTAATTGATACCTGCAAAGGAAAAAAAATAGTGGTTGTTACATGTACTTTGTACATAATTTCTGTACTTTGTTTAATAAAGAGGCTTTAAAATGTGAATGTTATTTCAATGTGCATAGCTGCCAACGTGGATAGGAAAAAATCCAGTAGATTTTACGAAATATAAATTTCATGATAATGGTTGCGAAATATACTAAACATTTTACACATAGGGATTTTTATAGTCATCAAAATAGAAAAATTGCAATATTTTCCAGTTATTATTTCACATTAAATGATCTTGAAATGTTATGTATTACGTTTATTCATAATTTTGAATAGTAATAGGCATTCAATTTAATGAAGATAGTTAACTGAATTTTATAAATGAAGCTTGCTTTATTATGTATTAGTGACACTTATTTAAATATTCAAGGAAGCAATATTCTAAACAAAAATTCTATTTCAATAGGGATTTTTTTTAGGGAAACTTACTCAATTTTAAGGAATTTACTAAAATGTACAAAAACTAGGAAAACTTTTAGTAAATCAGTAGACCAGGAGAAACTGGCAAAATCCAGTAGAGTTGGCAGCTTTGAATGTGTAAATTTTCAAGGCAGTTTTAAATTTAAAATTCATCATCCCTGGTTTTAAGTTTTACTCATCTATCTACTGTTTATACAAACCGATTGACCGTTTCATTTTAAATAGTTATGCAAAAAGGTATGTTAAACATAAATTAAGAATTCCTCTAACTAAATCCTTAAAATTAAATAAAAAATATATACCTTTATCATCAAAAGCACCTGCTAATTTATTAGCAACATGAGCAGCTAGGATGCCATATTTTACAGCTCTGTACAAATAAAAAAAATAAAGATTAGAGTAGAATTTTTTTGTTTTTATAATAAATTAATAAAAATATTTATGAATGTATTTAAAGATTAAAAGTAGAAAAATTTCTTACAATGGGGATTCAACATCAAACAATGGTTCATCAAAAAGACCAGCAGGTACAACTAAAGAGGAAATAAAGATTTTATAGAACTGAAATTAAAACTTGAATAGCAGATAATCAAATTTTACAAATAAACAAAACAACACTTTCATAGACAATGGTTAAAAATTACAAATAAATACATACCTAGTTGGTTTCCAACGTATTTGTAATCAACAGATACATCATGTGGATAAATTGTCCAACTGTGAGAGAAATAAGAAATTAAATTACTTTTTTAAAAGACATAAATAAAGTACAAACATTTTTGTCAAAAATATGACATGAATTTGTAACAGTTCAAAAGCGATCACATAATAAAATAATTCACGACTCTTTTTTCTTTCCAAATAAGCCATTACTATTTTAAGAAATCAGAAGGGAAAAAAATTCATTGATTGGATTAGGAAAAAAATAGGAACAGCAAATATCGAATGAAAACCGTAGTCAGGCAACAATAAGCAACTGCGACCTCAGACCTAAAACAAGTGAAGCAAAGTACTTTAACTCTTTGATGTTTACAGAATTACGGTTGTTATAAGTTAAAAACAATTATTTTTTGCATTTCTGATGATTTGAAACATTGCCTGATGATTTGTAACATAGTGTTGCTAGACTAACTACACTGTGCCAGAAAGGGATAAAACAACTACATAATCCTATTACACTAAATAATGCAGTTGTCTATAGAACATTAATAAACTAATGTTTGAAATTCGAAAAGTTTTCTGTTAAATGTTAATTAATATTAGCAGCAAAAGAATTTTCAAATTCCATTCAAGAAATTCTTTAAATGAATTGTGATTAGTCTTAAAACTAAATGAAGAAAAAAAAATTAATTTGCATATTTTGATTCAAATCATTTTGTAGCCTTAAAATCAAATTTATAAATTTGCATATTAATTTACATAACACTTGAAATTAACCTTTTATGTTATTCTTTTTTATGATTTACAAATAAAGTTTATATTTCTTCTAGAGTTTCCTAGTTACACTAGATTTTACACTATATATATTTTCACAGCAGAAAGTATATTTCTTTACACACAAAAATTCACCCACTTTTTTTCAGAGCAAAAAATATAGCGAAAATTAAAAATTATATACAATATAGATTACATAAATATTAGAATATATAATTTACAAATTGTATATTCTTATACATTACATAAATCTTAAAATGCAATACAGGAAAATATAATTTTTCAAAAGTAGTGCAGCTCATTACAAACTATATATCTTAGAACGGTTTTCTTGTACTGTAAAACATTCCTCAGAAGTTCTGCAAAACCTAAGCTCAACTATTTTCTAAGCTGAAAAGTTGCCAATTAATAGCTATATCATTCCATAAATGAACATTTAAATAAATTGTGACCACCAAAATGTGCCTTTTACAATATCATCAGTAAAATTCATTACATATGTGTAGTTGTTTCATTTACAAATTATACGACTCTAATTAAAATCTTTACCTGTAGTCTGTAATTGCTTTGTTCCTCAACATGTCTTGTTGTTTGATATGTAAGAAATAAACACCATTTTTTATGTTTTGGAAGTAATCAGCCTGAACTTGCAGCTAGAATATCAGTAGAAAGAATTAATACTCAATAACATTACAAATATTTTTTAAAAAGAAATAAAATTATACAGAATGTGTACCTCTTGATAATATGAGTCTAAACTTCTATTTCGGGCAAATCCTGGATGACCGGATAATACAGCAAGTGAACGAATCTATGATAAGACGAAACTGAATTAGAAATCTGGAACTATGCATTATTTTATGTGAAAAAGAAACATTGAGTTTTACTTCAGACCTATAAGTTAAATTTACATCACAAGTTATCTAAAAGAAAAAATAATCCGAACATTGGCTTTAGACTTAATCTGGGACTTTGCAAATAGTTCAAGATAAATATATTAAAAAAGTATAGCATGCTTTAAGAATTATAAACCTCTCCCATTACATTTTAAATGCCCGTAATTTTCATAGAATTCACACTAACAAAGTTTATTTCAATTTTCCTTTAATAAAAAGCAAATTTGCACATACTTAGATTTAAGAAAAACGGTTATTCATCATTGAAATTTCTTTAACTTATAAAATCAATTATTGATAAATTTTTGAATATGAATGGAAAAAAAATTTCCGAACTATTTTTGGATTTTATATTTTAGTACAAATATAATTCCAATAATATATCAGATTTTATTTAGTAATTAGAATGTTTTTTATAATTAAAAGTATCAATATATTTTTGTTTGTAATTAAAGAATCAGAAAAAATATACATATAAGAGACCACAGTGGCCCATCTGCATCAAAATGTTAAAGAAAAATGGCTCTATGATTCTCCGCTGTATGATTCTTCACTGTAGGATTAATATAATTGTTACCTTTGATTCAGCAGACTCATGAGCATTGTCACCACTAAGCCATGGAAGACTTCCTCCAACTGAATTAAGGGCACCAATCAATTTATGTAAATAAACATGAATCTGAAATTAAAAAAAAAGTATGGTTAGTATCTAGATTTATTTTTAGTCAACAAACATGGTATAATATTTTAACACTTAGCTTGTTATAGTTAGCACTTGGCTCTGCCTTCATCACGTGGTATTCGACGATACTATTTCACTATTTTTGGGAGAAGGATGCAAACAATCCTGAACAAGGTTGTTATTTGATGATCGTATGATAAAAATATTCATTTTGCAATCTGTATGTGCATTTTTTTAACATTAAATATTTCATAAATTTGATGATATTTCTCTCTTTTGTGTGAATAGTTTGTCCTTTTTGAGACATTTTGCTGTAATATATTTAATTAGCTAGAGTAACAAAAGGTATAATAGCAGGAGATAAAGCGAAGTAAGTGACTGAAGAATTTGCTGTTTGCGTTTGGCGCATTAAGGATTCTCTCAATTTCAAAGGTTGAGACGTTTGTCCTCTCACTAACACGCTAAAATTAATTCTTCGTCGAGTAGGTGGAGCCAAGTGCCAACTCCTGGTGAATGAACTATACATCATTCAGATGGTGAATAAAATTCTGAAAACAAAAAAATATTCTAACAAAATTCTTTTGTTATGGTGTTTAAAAAACTTTTAAGTACAGCTAAGAAAAAAGGAACTAAATCTGACTTCAAGATTATAATTTTACAAAAAAAGATGTAATCATTTTAATTTATAAAAGCTATAACAGTTAGCTTTTCAAGCTTAATCAAATATAAATTTATTCACTTATACTATTATTTATCCCTTTCCTACAAAAACAAAATTTTCAGAATTAAATACAATAATTACTTAAAAGCACTAGTTACAAATATAACTACAATAACCATTAACTGTATATACTGTAATTATACTTCAAATGCTCTACTTTTAATTACTATAGGAGACTTTAATTACCATATCCTATGATATATGAGAAAAAATAGTCATGAGAAAGTATCATAATCATCTGTGTGTCTATTTGCAAAAAAGTAGGAATTCACTAAGCATTACTCTTAAAAATAAAAGAGTATTTATCTTAAAAGCAAATGTTTTGGTTTGTTAAGAATTGATGGAAAAAAAAATTTCTATAAAACCAATGGTTCAGATAAAATAAATTTATATTTTTTTCTATTCAATTGAAAATATCACAAAATAATGGTAGCTTGAAAAAAAGTTTCGTTAAAAAGTTTCTTTTTTTCTTCTTGTTTAAATTTGCCAGCATATTAATAGTAGCTACTTAATATTTTAACCACATAGAATCCTTAAACAAAATTTAACACCAAAATTTAAAAACAGAGTCTGGAAATACAAACTAGAGACAATTCTAAATAATAAATATATTTCATAGAAAATATATTCGTATGAAATTTAAAGACAATACTGAAAATTGTACAGTGCATTATTAAGAGTTTTACTTTTAATACATCACTGTAGAAAAACTATAATCAACAATTTTAAATATGTGCTTTTATCTATTATAATAAGAGTGCCTTCATTAAAAAAAAATTAAGCATTTGTACTACAAAACTTGAAAAAACATGACAATAATTCATGGTTAACGAACGTCAATGGTTAGCATTGTTAATGGATCGCATGTGCAGTTGAAAATTGTAACATTGTTTCAAAGTACACGATAGAAGCCATTTAAATATTTATAAGCATCTATGAAAACAGGGTGGCTTTGATTTACTTATTTCTGAGAAATACTTCAGCAAGATACTGAGTTTCCTATCAGTGAAAAATCCCTTTTTAATTAAAAAAAATTATTACATTAAAAAAACTTATGTAAGCAGAGGGATTGTTAATTAGTGATCCAAAATTATCAAAAATATGTTTGCAAAATATATAAAAAAAAAGTCGTAACATATTTCACATTCAGTGTTGCATTGGCTTCCCTGAATAAGTTATTAGTAGCATTTAATCTTGGCTTAAACATAGTCTTTATAAATTTGTTTACGAAAATTCCTAATAACAAATAAATTTTTGAATTTACTAATAGTTTAACCCACTGGCGGTTTAGCAAAAGGGCAAGATTGGGAGAATGCTTCTCCCCCATACACTATATCCCTATCTAATAACATGGAAAAACCGGTTTTGCTATGCGGTGAAGACTGCAGGTTAAAATTCAACTTTTTACGTGCAAGAACCGTCAGTGGATTAAAGAATATAATTACTAATATTTTTATGAAATAAAGTAACTTGAATGTAACTATATAATATTAAAAAAAATAGAGAGAGAGAAGCAGGAATGAAAACTTAATCCATACTTTTGGTTCAACTTACCTTGTCATGAACACTTGAGGGGAAATAACGCTGAACATACAATGCGCCAACAGCATGACCTAAATACTGACTGGTGACATCAATACAATATTCCCAGTTATCTTCAAAACTTGAATATGTATCAGTAATACCTAAAATATTAATACAAAAATTAAAATGCAATAAGAACATTTTGTAAGTCTCTAAAGAAATTCTATGCACTACAAAAGATGCCCACTGCTCATCTCCTAAAGGTTGTAGAGAACAATCTCTTCAAAAATTCCTCATTTCAGAAAACAGCAAAAACACATTTAAAATAAAATTCATTTGTTACAAAAATTAAATTTTTTTTAAAAAATTAAGGCAAATGTTTAGTAAAACTTTGTAAATTTCAAAAGACAAAACTGATTTTGTGGGAATATATTCACTTTTAGATTGAAACGGAATATATACTTTGTTTGAGAAATGAGAATGTTAAATTTGTAATCAATATTACAAAAAACTTCATTTTTAATTGGAAAAAAAAAACATTTTAACACACCAATATTAATTACAAAACCACCAATAGATCTCAAGTATTTTTGTAAACAACATTACTATGTTAAATTATGGCACTGATTATAAAAAATAAAAAAAATGAATTTTATGTATAAATACACCTAAAATTATAAAGTTGCATGGATTGAAAATTACAGTTATTGGAAAAACAAGAAAATTTCTCAAATAAAATTCAGATGCTTTTATAAAATTTTAAAGTTTAATTTCTGCTACTCATAAACACATTTTTTATTTTTCATTTTGGATTTGAAATGGATATGAATTTTGGATATGAATTGATGAAAAAAAATTTGGCGAAGAAAATATCATCACCGAGAAAGATTTTAAGCATATATCACTCCCCAAATATTGAAAAATATCCACTTGAAAGATTTTAAAAAAAATTCTCAAAACTATTTTTGAGCTTTAAAACAACAAAAAAGTAGAAAAACATTAAAAAAAGAGTGCATGGAAGTGTGAACTAATCAGATTCTCAATTTTTCAATGCATATTTCATACGAATTTTCATTTCAATGAAAAAGTTTTAAGGACTTATATCTTCACTCTCTGGCATTTAAACCTACTTAACTTTTTTCAATTCTAACTAACAGCAAGTGATTTTAACATTTCAAAGCTCATTCCACTGGCTTCGTGTTACAGAACTCTAATATTATTAATTACAGGCAATTTTTTCAAACAAAACTAAATAAAAATTAACTATAAATAGACATAAAGCTGGAAAAAAAAACAGTATAGGTATATTTTTTAAACGTACCTTCAAAATCTTGTTTAAAGCTATTTACAACAAGCCTGAATTTAGTAGATGAATGAGGAGCAAATGTATGCATAAATCTCCACATATAATAGTTATTTAGAACACTGAAATAGAGAAGAGCATATAATTTGAATATACACAAAAAACTAAGAAAACTAAATCAAAAACATTACTAATAAAATTATAAAAATACTTCGATACCAGGCAGAAGAAATAACCACTTCTGATTATTTAATAATTCCTCTAAATTTTTATGATTATCATTTTGATGATTTATCAGTCATATAATATATAAAGTCAGACATAATAAAGCATATGTAATATTCTTTGTAAAAAAAATTAACATAAACAGTAAAAGCTCCATGTAACAAGTACTATGACAGAAGTGTTATTTGAAGTTTGCTATTAATACATATTAATATGCATTAATACACATTAATAGAATTAAATTTCCAAGTTGCCATCAAAATGCAGAAATAAAATAAGCAAAAATTTTATGTTTATAACCAGACAAAAACTACTACCTTGCTATTATGACAAAATTTGCTTTAGGAAAATATATTTTTCTGCCCTTTAAGTGAGCAATATTATTCAGAAAAGATTCAAATAGAAGAAAGACACTTTAATTAATTTTTGTTTCAATACAGAAACATGAACATTTATAAGGTAATGACATTTTTGCCTTTTATAAAGAATCGAGATACAAAATTCAATTTACAATCTGTAGGGATAAACAATTTACTTTAGATTTGTATTTTAAGTCAAAACAGTTTCACAAAGTAAAAGAAAAGAGAATGTCCACTTAATTTCATTTTTTTTAGTCTTTGTTGCTATTTTAACATTAAACATGTGTTAAATTTAATATGTACATTACTAGCATTAAACATGCGTAAATCAAGTATTAAATATGTGTATTTGCTTATTAAGGAAAAGCTAGCTACAATGACAATTTCACTGTTTATTATGATTTGGGGTTATAAAAGATTTTTAATGTATTTGTTATTTAAATATCAAATTTCAATTTCATATCTTATCTTACAGACTTTGTTTTTTAAGTTTAATTTTTTTTAAATTGTTGAATCTTATGCACTGTTTAAGTTGTAAACTAATAGACTAAACCCATATTAATTGTTTAGGAAACTATATTTTGCAAGAAAAAAATAGGAATTATTTAATAAGAAATATATTTTATTAAAAATCAGTAGAAGACATACAACATATTTACAACAGAAAGATATATTTTGAATATAATTTCATATATTTATGAAATATTACCTTGAATCAGTGGAGGATATAATCTCAGAGATATCTTTAAAATACTTTTCTGATAATACTGCAATTTTTGTGTCAGCTGTAACAACATCAGGAAAATAACTCTGCAATATATCTGTCCAAGAAATCTAAAATAAAATATCCAAGATTGTAGTGTCTCTTCATTTTTAAAATAGAAGAAATATAATTAAAAACAGAGGCTATTAATTCTACATAAATTTACATTAGACAATTAACAATACTTTATGTTTGTTAATTGTCTAATCTAATTGCTTGTTTGTTAATTGTCTTTTGTTTGTTTGTTAATCTTCGAAGTTTAATATCTACTATCAGTCGAAGAAATCGGAAATAAAATTAAAAAACGCCTTTCATGTCTATCTTCCATTTTCATATTAGAAGAAATATTATGAAAAACAGCAGTTATTAAGTCAACATAAATCTAGTTAAAACCAATCAACAATGCCTCAGATTTTAATAGAAATAATTGCCATTATTGATAACAGATAGTGATTACATAGAAAAAGATCAATTTTGATGGAAATTACAAGTAATCAAAACTTGCAATTATTGTAAAAATCATGATCAATTATTGTTGAAATCATGATAAATTATAATGAATCCTGTCTTATAATTAATAATAATATAAATATATAATCAATATGATATTAAGCCCAATTGCAATTAAACAGATAACTTATCATTAAAATTTAAAATACTAAAATTTATGTTAAAAATATTTAATTTGGCTTAAAATGAAATGTTAGTAATGAATCTAATAAATTGTTATACGTGGCTCATTATGCGGTTAAACAACAATTGTAATATTAAACTTTTAACCAATTTTTACTCAACTTTACATTACTTACACTAGAAGACAATCGATCAAGCTCTTGAACAGTAAGAATAGAATATAAATCCTTAGTATTCCGTAATGTGTCAGGTCTTGGGGTAATCTGTGAAAATTGTAAGTTATTATTCCTAATGTTAAAATAAAAATGCATATTTTGATCAGAAATACAATAAATATATAACACAAGAGAATAAAAATTATAAAATCTTTTAAAATATATTCATTCATTATAGAAAAGACATTCATTTAAAAATAAACTTAGTTTAAAATTTAAAAAAAAAAAAAAAAAAAACCATTAGACATAAAAAGTTTGTATATAAGTTTTTTTTAATAATAAAAAACCATTTTAAATTCAATAATGTATAAATTATTTTTCTAAGAATTAAAAATAAAAGAAATAGTGTAGTATTTTTATTGCTCAAAGAATTCGCACAAACATGAGACTATATTCATCAGTCTTCATAAGTATTTTTAGAATTGTTAAAAAATATCTTCATTAGAAAATACACTACAAAATAGAGATCAAAATTGAATTTTAGACGAAAATTTTAAAATGTAACAAATCTTAACCAATATCAATAATAAATATGGAATTAAAACCATCAAAATTTGTTTAGTTTGAAATGAAACTTAAAGGAGTTCATTCTTAATAATTTTAATTGAGTAAAATAATTATAAGGATGATTTCAATTCTCTCCTTATACTGCTATTGATGTTACTGTTATTGGATGATTTTAATTTTTTCCATAGATTATAAGGATATAATTATAAGGATTATTTTAAATCTCTCCTTATTATACTGATCCTGATGATACTGTTATTGATAATAATTTATCAAATTTGAAAAATGTAATTGTTTGTTTTTTCGTAAAATGTAAATAATAAACTCTTAACATGTAAATTTTAATGAGTTTTTTAAATTTTTGAAGGCAAGATTTGCGATATTATATCTGTTGAGGGTGATATTAAAATACATGTGAAGTGACAATCCTGAGTTAGTGAAAATTAATAAAACTTTGAAAGTTGTGAAACAAATTATGTCAGAAGACAAAATCAGTCTAAAGAAAAATGCCTAAATCTCCATAAATATAAATCATAATTTTACAAAAATACAACTGAATATTATACAGGATATGTTACATATTAGGCAGATTTGAACAGTAGGAGACAATTTCGCACAAATAGAGAAAAATTTTCTCAACTCTAACTCTAAATAGTTAAATGTTAAGACCTATAGATTAAAGGAAAAATAGTTCGAATTTAAGAAAATTATTTTGGACAAATATTTATAATTATATGAACAAAAACATTATTAGACTGAATATGAGGATAATTATTAAAATTATTATAGCTCATCACAAAATTCTCATAATTAATTGAACATATTTGAGCTTAAAAATTGATTGTACCTTTTAAAAAGAAAAAAGTAAATAATTGAAACTACTGAAAAATCATTATTCAGAAAGAATAATTAGTAAATGATCTTTTCATAAATTTCAACATCAAATTTATTTAGCAAAGTAATTGATAATGTAATTGCAAAGATAATGCAAATGAATTAAGTAAATTATTTGTAATAGTGCCCTAGTTCAAAAATTCCCCTATGAATCTTCTTGTAGTAAAATGTGTCATAGATGTGTGGGTGTATGTTTTAAATTGAGATATTTAACTTTCTTACAACAGTGTTGCATTATTTCAATATTTGGTATCAATATACTTAAAATTTTATTTTGTCAGTTTTTATATTATTGTATAAAATGTAGTTTCAAATAAATTACTTTTAGACCTAATGATAGATAAAATTAAAATAGTTTGAAATTAACATTTATCAAATAATAATATCAACACTTCACATGGATTTGGTAAAAAGTTTTTTTAATAAAAATAAAGTCGGAATTTGAGTTGAGCTCTTGGAAAAGTCTGAAGTTAAACGTTTCAACAACAGACTCCTTAGCGTGTATGTTTTTCAGTTGCTGCCTTAAATTCACTTCTGTTTTAAAAAAATGTGAGCTAAATTCCTTTTTCTTAGATTCTGTTTGAAGTTTTTAGCTTTTGAACGGTGGTGTATAATTTGATTAATATTTTTGAAATAAGTATATTTTTTTTAAATTTTACGATTAGTTTATTATATATAACCTTCGAGAAAGGCCAAAATTACAGTAAGTTTTTTTAAAAATTTTTTTTAAAAAAAAAAGAAATTTTTAAGAGCAGCATTGATAAGCTAAGCCATGCCTATAAGTGTTAAATAAATAGAATTGGATAATCATAGTTGATTTCACACATCATAACATAAAATATTCTTAATTATTATAAATTAAATATGTTCATTAATATGTCAGTTCATTAATATGTAATTAAATATGTTCATTAATATGTCAGTTCATTAATTAAATATGTTTTTATAAGCACCAACTTGGTAAGTAAAAGGCCATCTTATGGTCTAGATATCTTTAGATACCTTTTAAATTTTGATTTGAAATTAATATACAATTGATGCATGTGGAGAATATGTTTAAAAATAACTTTCAAATACGAAAAAAAAAATTAGAATGAATTTAACTAAAATCACTTACTTCAGCAATGCGTTTTTCATAGCTAAAAACTTGCTCTGCAAATTTGGTGGCTTTGTATAGTTCAACATCCATAGCATGAACAATGTTTTTGATAAAGAGTTGATAAGCTTTAACATACTGAAAAATATAATAAACATCAAAGCATTTACTATTACTCATTAAAACATTTTATACATTTATATAAAAACTAAAACTTAAAAAATAAAAAACGAGCAAAATATTGATATAAAAATTTAATTGCCCAGTTCGCATTCAAATATATGAATGTCGTATAATAAATCTGTTTCAAAAAAAATTCTTCCTTTAATATGGTACATACATAGTGGCCAAGATAAAAGAGGGCCAGTGTACGATATGGCTAGAGTTCACTTTTATCTTGACCACTCTGTATTTTATGGTATTTCTGATTTAATATTTATATGCCTGACTTGGGTGACAAAGGTAAAAAATAAAAGCCTCAATGGAATTTTTATGTGACCCAGACCGTTAAAGTCACATATTTTAAAGTTAATTCTGAAACAATTCAAGATTTTATTGAAAAAAAATCAAATCAAATTAACGAGAACATGGTTAACAGAATAAATAAAACATGGAAAAATGTTTGTAAAAAGCTTCCTGGTGATTCTATATACATTATAAAGTTGATTTTTCCCAATACACTAAAAAGCCTTATTTTAACCTGTTCAACTTTTCTATTGTATTGTTTTAAGCTAAAGGTTTGGATTGCACAACAATAGTTTTTAATTTCTATGAATGCAAGTTAATTGAACTAGTGATTAGTTTAAAAAAATACCTGGATGCATAAAATTGTTAATAAATTAATATCAACAATTCACTTTCATCCACCTATAATTCAATACACTTGTTATATCAAAAAGCATTGTAAAAAATATGAAATATTGTTAAAGTTTGCATCCTATTTCCTCAAATTTCAAACTAAACTATGCTTATAAGCCTAAGGCAAAAGAAGCACAATATATATGTAGTGCATAGTTTTCATTTCTAAAAAGTTGAAAAAAATTAACTATCAAATAAGGGAAATAAAATTAAGAAAACAAAATTATTCCAATAAACAGATCTCCAAATGTATCCTTTATTTAAATTTGAAGCATATGTTGGAATCTTTTAACCAACAGATGAAATATTTCAGGAATTTAGAAAATAAAATGATATAATACATTAACATTTTATATTTTTCCCAGGAGTATTAAATAAAATTACATGAAACAGCTTTATAATATAAATCATATGAGTAATCACAGTTGCATGATCTTCATGACTAAGACTTCTTACTAAGGAAAACTGCCACTCACAAACTTTTATTATTATTATTTAGATGATTTCACTGGACATATTGATGAATATAATATTCAAGTTATTTCGTTTATACTTAAACAGTATTCATCAGAAATGTTCATGAACATGATAAAATTAGCCTTTAAGGACAAGACAGAAATCATCCAAATAATTTTCAAACTTTATTTTCATGCCAAACAGAAAATTCTTAAATAATTCCAGCAACGAATTTACAGGTTGTGTTTTATGTTGAGAATTTCTTGGAATTGTGAGTTTAGATGAATGCGCAATCTCAGTCTAGTAAAAAAAATACAGTAAAACGGAAAATAATGTCAAATTATGCAAGTAATGAGTCTTAAATGAAAATAAAATACAAATTCCGATCACTGATTCGTTACCTGCTATCTCTATAAAGAAAGAAACATATTTACTTATTGCATCATGAACACTAGTAATAGTTTCTTTCTGTAATACAGCAGAAACAGTTTTTTAATATATTTATAAATTTTTTTCGTGTAAAGAACTTATCAATTGAAGTAGCCTTGAAATAAATAGCACATTCAAACCCAGTGCCTTAAAATTCATGAAAATAGCTTTGTTTGGCATCATGATTACAATACACAAAAATAAATAAAAAGAATAAAAAAAAGATATAAGAACAAGTCTGTACATAAAAATAGAGTAAATTGTTGTGTATCTTTAAATAATAATTTCAAGACATTAATATAATAACAATACGACAAAAACAAAACAATTTCTTTAAAATAAATATAAGGCAAAAATCGAAAGTCATTAAACAATCTCAATGAAAATTATCATAACAACACAAAATTACACAATATTGCTAAAATTAACAGCATTCAGGAAAATTTAAGAAATCGGTAGTAATATGTGTTTAAAAAATATTTGAAAACTCATCTCTTTATCTTTCCAATTAAAAAAAAATAATCCGTTTTGAGAATTTAATTGGTAAGTTAAAGCAATGAGTTACTCCTCGTTTTAGCCTTCGTGATTTGTGGAATATTCATTTAGATACTTTACTACCAAATCTTTTAGTTTTCCCACAACGCTGGTTAGCCTAAATGTTATTTAAAAGTGCATAATATTTACCGGTTCATCATAAGTTTCATAATATCGGGGACTCGGTAAGCCCAGACCAGCTGGAACAAGCTAGAAAAGAAAAGAAAAATACTGAACAAACAATTTAGATAAAAAGATAACATTCTTAAATGAGCTCAATAGCTCATAACAGTCAGAAAGTATTTTATTTCAATATATGAGTCCACAACCTAACTACTTGTACAAAATTAAGCACGATTTGTTAATCAGAAATCTAAACGTGAAGCATTACGTTTAGAATCGTGTAAGAAAATCAGTTGAAACTGAACTATACAGCGAAGCAGAGTAACGAATTCAAAAATACAAGACCACCATAAAAATAGAGCATGTCACGATCATGCGTGCGATATTAGCCAGGTAAGTAAAAGAAAATACGAAAAATGAAAGCTGCAATTTTTAATCCATTTGTGCCTAACATTCTTTAAAAAAAATAAAAGAAAAAACGATAGAAATAGTGTTAACAAAACTACCACTATGCATTAAAAAGAAAAAAATACCTATATTTGGATTTGACGATCAAACTTGTTATTCAAATTCAGATTTCTTTACAGTGTACAGGCTTGCCAATGCTTAAGCTTGTTGTAAAATACATTTCCTAGAGTGATAGATAATTTATAACCAAAGCTTTCAGAATTTTTAGTAATTTAGCCAAAATTTTAAAAGCTTCACCAAAAATAGGGTAGGGATGGAAAAAAAATTGCGTTGGATATGAACTTTTAAATCACTTATATGTGATGGTGCAAAATATTAGTATAAATAAATAAAAAATAATACATTAAAACATTTGCATAGCTACCACTAGAATAAATTTTTACCAAACTATAAATTATTTGCAAGCATATATTTATCCTTCACAATTTGAGGTTTTACTTTAAGCATGATGATAATGAAATTTCTACTAATTCTTAGATTTAAAGGCAAATCTTAAAAACTGCATTCCACTTTAATATTACAAATATATTTATAAAACTTACAATACAATAAAAATTAGTAAAAAGTAATTATTAAACATGTAGAAAAAGTTTAATAAAAATTTTATTGCTTTCCTCGATTTATTTTTATTATTATTAAAGTTTATTTTTTTCCTTTTTTATCTAACCGTGTAGGTTAAGTTATTAAAGCATTTGGGGGTCAACCTTGTGTTCAAGTAAGGTATAAGCAACTCCATTTATTTTGTTTTTGTCTTTCCTGAAAATAACATTAAGAAAAATAAGCCTAATTAATTTTGTTATTTGTTTATTTTAATTTCAATATTTGACATACATTTTAATAACTCACGACATACATTTCAAGCATATAAATACATACATTTCTTTTGTTCATAAATTTGAATCTTGTATTTGCATGCATTTTGTTTTATTATAAAAGCAATTTTTAACAAATTTGTCAACAATTTTTAACAAATTAAAAAAGTTGTTAAAGATTAAGATTGTAATGTCTTGTTGTGATTTATATTTAATAACATTTAAATTAAAATAATATTTATAAATTTTAATCATAAACTAAAGCTCATAAAGTTTCTTTAAAAAAAAATACTTAAAAGAAATCCAATTCAAATGAAAAAAAAAATCTGTTTTAAATAAAATAAATCAGATTTTATTTCTTATTTTTTTAAACTAATTACAAAAAAAAAAAAAAAAAAAAAAAAAAAAAAAAACACGCATGAAACCTGCTTATAGGCACTTTTCACATTAATTCTTAAAATGTGATATTTTGTTGGAAATTTGAAGTACTAAAAGAGTTCATTCATTTGAGTACCAGCATGAGGCAAAGGCACTTTTAGAAAGCATAGGCATTCTATTATGCATCCCATAACAATTGACAATAACGGCCCTATTCGAAGATAACCACTTTCTTTTCTATTCCATAAGGGATCGTTATTATGTTCAGTAATTGCAATTAATAAGATTTTCATAAAACAAAAATCAAACAGTTAATGAATCTCCACTTCGTAAGTGACTAACTCATTAAATAACCAAGGTGCACATCGACCAAATAAATAACTTTTCAACTAAGTAATATTAAAGCACTCTAAATGATAACTAAACGAATAATATGTTTGTTAGTTTTAAATTAAATCTTCCAATCACGTTAAAACAATTTCACGCTACAATCTCGTTTCAAAATTTTACGTGGAAATTCTAAGCAAAATTTAACATTATGTGGTGGGCTTTAACCCTTTCGCGCCGACTGTCACAAATACGTGCCAGCAGAAAGCCGTATCAATCAAGGTAAAAAGATAAAACTGGTAATCAAAGTAAATCTTTAGCAGTTTATTTGTGGGCGGAGTTATAATTGTTTGATTTATTTAATTCACCATTACTTTGTTCAAAATAAAACTATTTAGTTATACTTTGAATTGACATTGATTATATCTATGATTAAACTAACAATAGTTAATGTAAAAGCAAAGTAAGTCTGTCAAATTAGCAACGACTACATTTAAGTTACCGTTTTTTATTTAATTACATCCTGATTCTGATTTTGTACGAATGCTTCTCAGAATCACCCGTCCCCAAGGGGTTAAAAAGCAGAGCCGATGTTGCAGCGCCAAAATTCCTACTTATGAGTTTAATACATTTTAATTTTAAAAGCGAACTTTTTCAATAAACATTTCTATCTGATTTAATTTTCCTTTCCCTTTCATTTTTAAAACATGTTCAAACAAAATAAGCTATTAAAGCGTCGTGGACCGCTCAAAAAATAAATAAATAAAGGTTGATTCCAAATATGAATTAATAATTATAAACATTAATAAACATGGGCGATAAACAGGAGAAAAAACAGCAATTAAAACATATCCGCATAAATTCTTTTACACGTGCAACGACAAAAACAGAGATGTAAATAAACAAAACAAGTGAAAATCTCGCCGGGTCAAATGTATACAATAAGAAGATTTTACTCATTTTTGGCGTGCTTGGTTTACTGCCCTGAGGAAAGGTAGAGGCAGGTCCATTGACACCTGTTTTTGTCCCGCGTTGTCCACAAATTCGAAAGTATACTTCCTGTTTTCTGCCGCCATTACGGGTGGCATAAATCCCAGACAACTATTTTTTTTTTTGATCTATTGAAGGGCGTAACTTTGGTATGAAAGACATTTGAATGAGTAATATCACAACAGGATTCTAACTCACCTGAAATTCCATACTTGTGTTCATGAAGTTCTCGGGGAAATACAGTGATAAGCCACGTTTTTTCCCAAGTTAATATATTTACATTAAACTATCCAAATAAGTATTTTCTAAATCTCTCTAATTTTTCAGAAGAATATGCGTAGATTTATTGTTTCTTGCTTACATTAAAAAACGTGTTTTTTGAAGTTTATTATAACATAAAATTCTATTAAATTACTTGTTAACTATAGCAATTATCATCATTATAGCAATTATCATCATTCTGATTATCTGTAATATTTTTAATGCGTTACTTATTCTACACAAAATGAATTGCCTACCTGTTGGTAAGGTAAGGTGTAAGGCAACATTAATAATGTTAATATATGTATTATACATTATACGCAACTGCAATAATATGAAACTGCGAAAAATAACTGCGTTATAACTTAAAATGCATTGTTATTATTTATAATATTTTCAATGATTATTGTATATGTAATTATTTTAATAAAATGTTTAACTAAAACTAATAAAAAAAATTATGATTATATTACAAAAATAAAGAAATAAAAAATAACGAATTTCAGCCAGGTTTAATTTAAAAGCCGGTTTATTTCAGTTAGGAAGATGAAACAAAATTTTAAAAGACTGTAGAATAAAATTTATGCGTTAGCGTGTTCTCTCAGTGAAGATTACTTTTTTTCCTCCTTATGTTGATTAGAGATAAATATCAGAAAATTGAATAAAAAAGAAGCTGTTTAAAATATAAATTCAGATTGTCTTTTTTAATAGTGGAATTTATTTTAATTAATTAGTTAATAATTCTGTTAGATCATTCAAATATTGCGTAAGAACTAACGACAAGGACTTTGCGATTTGTATATTTTTGTTGACAAGGGTGAAGAAGGGTCAATAATTACGTAAGACATTAAAATCGCCTTATTTTCAACTTTTTTTTTTAAAAAAAAGTAAAAATAAAAAACATCTTAGAAAAATTACCCGTGGAAAAATTTCAAATGTAAAATGCAAGTTGCATTTTGAAAAGAAAAAACTAGAAATAGTATTTTTTCGAACAGTTTCAGACATCAACAGAAAGAACCATTTGAATGCAAGAGATTGAAAAAGAATATTTAATTCAAAATTTTAAAAAAATAAATTAAAACGTAAACTTTCTTAAATACAAAGTTATACCTTTTTATTTTAATTTGATCCTAAAACTAGATTACTACAATAAAAGTCAAAGTTAACCCTTTAACAGGCCCTTTACTTCTAGTAAAGGCAAATTAAAGTAGTTTTGGAATTGTAATTGTTTTAAGAACAGTAATTGATATATATAAAAAAAAAACTCATTTAGTTTATAAAAATGCCATTTTTTTGGTGGTGAATATATTTAACATGACATATTAGGAACTTACTGACTTTTATTTTTCTTTATTTATAAAATAAATTCCTTAAATGCTACAAACTTCAAAAGGAATTATGCATATATAACTTTTATACGTTTTTTAAAAGTGACAAATGGTTACCAATTTTATTCAAACTCACTTCAAGAAAGATGAAGTTATCGAAAAATGGAAACCTAAATTAAAAGTGGTAAAACGTGGTGGTAAGTATACTTACCATGGCCTTCAAAAGGGTTAAAACGAAAACCGGTTAAATTTACACGTTTGGAGTCAGCATCTTATCTAATTCTTGATTTGATTAAGTGAACGCATGAACTGAATATGAATGATGAATTGTGATTTTACTCGAAATGGAAACAAAAAAGAATGAAAGTAAACGTTGAAAATGTTTATCAGAGAAACGTGGTTCTTCATAGTTGAATTTAGTTGATTTTAATCGGGGCAAAATACTAGTACAATTTTTCATAAATGGGACAGTTTGGCTATCAGTTGGAGTGAATGAAAACGTCGATTTCGAAAGGTTTCAGCT